CCGCCCTGGGGGCTGAGCCTCGGGCGCAGGGGAAGGCCCTGCCCTGCCCCATGCTCTGCAGTGTGGGCTCAGGCAGCCTCAGCGCATGGGACCAGCGGAGAGCAGAGGCCTGGCCATTATTGCTGCTGAAGGGCACGGTGCAGGCAGACAGGCCCTCGGGAGGTGGCAGCCCAGCGGGTGCTGGGGGTGCAGGGGGAGGCCGTGCCAGGAGCTGGGCAGAGCATGTCCCAGCTCTGGGCAGACCTGCCCCTGTCACGGCCTGAGCAACCACAACGCAGAGACCCCACATGCTGCCTGCCCTGGGGGACTCGTGTGACCCCCAGCCACCCAGCTGGGGCAGGGGACAAAGCTGCCACAGCAGGGCTGGTGAGTGCCAGGGCCCCACTGCCAAACACCCCGCAGGCGCACAGTATGGCCGCGGGGCCAAGAGATGGTGCAAGACCAGGAGGGTGCTGGGCTGGGGATGGTGCTGGCAGGGTCGTGCCTGGCAGCCTGGGCCAGGGCTGAGGGATGGTGCCGGCGGGTGGGGAGCCCCGGGCTGCTGCAGTGTGGGAAGGGGACGGGGGAAGAGTCTGCTTGCCTGCACTGGTCCCATGGTGCTGTGCAGGGATGGAAATAGGGGCAGGAGGGCTCATCAAAGGGCACTTTGGTCTCTGATGAAGGCAGTCCTCTCGCTGCGGGCCTCGTTCTCCTCACCGTCCGACTCCGAGGGGGCCTCCTCCTGCCAGATGTCGGAGGGGAGCCCCTTGTAGGAGATGATCCCACTGTCCAGGGCATAGACCTTCACGCCCCGCAGGCTGAAGCCTGAGCGTGCCTGCAGCACCAGGAAGACAGTGATGAAGATGACAACGATGAGGACGCAGCTGAGGCTGGCGATAAGGACGGGCAGGTTGGCTGAAGGGGTGGTCTCAGGCAGCCCCTCGCCATCAGCCAGGGCAGGGGATGCCCGGCTGCTCTGCGTCTGGTGGGAGCAGGAGAGGTCCAGGCTGCTGAAGTGGGAGTGCGCCGGGCAGGTCAGGCACTGGTTGGGGCCGGGCCCGGTGCAGGTGGCACAGGAGGGGTGGCAGGGCAGGCAGAGGTGGGGTGTGATGGGCTCCACACTGTTCTCTAGGCTGTAGTGGGTGCTCTGGACGCCGGGTGCGAAGCCGGGAGGGCAGCGTTTCAGGCAGCTCTTCTGGTGCAGGTAGTAGCCCTCCTCACAGACTAAGGGAAAAGCAAGGTCAAGGCAGGCCAGGGGTCGACACGGGCAGGGGGCTGCCTGCGCCCCCCTCCCCTCCCTGCCAGCCCCACACTCACCCACGCAGGTCTGGCTGGGGGGCAGGGGCTTGCGGC